GCCAAGTTAGGCATTCATAATCCGCATGCACCAACTTGAGGGGGGTGATAAGATAGTGTTATTATGGTAGATATGTTTCTGATTTATGTTGTTATTATTTTCTAATTTCTGTTATTATTGTAGATATATTTCTGATTTGTAGAACCTTATTTTTAGGAGTTGATTTGTTGGTCACATCTGTTCAGTTTTATATAGTACTAATTTGAGTAAATTTAGGAATATGTCAGGAGATATTTTAGGAGTGACTCATGGAGATTCCTCTTGTATATATACTAACACAGAATCAATGAAAAAGGACGAGGTTATTTTTCTCAAATTCTTTAATATGAATCATCTTACTACTATTTTTTTTTTTAATAAACATCACTTTAATCCTTGTGATAGTAAGCATTAGACATTTTAATTTATAAAATTTTAAAAATATCATATTAGTCTTTAATTTTTGTCTTTGTCTATCATTTTAGTCCTTTGAGTCACACATTGTAACAAAATATTGACATATCATATTAAGTGACACGTATAATTAATTGGGTAGTAAAAATGACATGGTGTACAATGTAGTATATGTTTTTGGAATTTTAGTACCTGAGATTGTCACATGTTAAAAATTTTAGTCACTAGTTTTAAAAAAATTTCATCTATCTACCATTCTTCTTTATTATTGTTTAATACTACAATCGCCAGAAATCACCATCATTGATCATCGTCTTCGTTTGCATTCTTTGTTGATAAATTTGTTGCCACCATTTAACACTTCTCTGATGCTATCATCCTCTCCCTATCAACCACATCTTTTTACATTAAACTTTCCTTATCTTCCTTTGTTCTTATTCTCCACTCTTACATTTCTCTATTAAGTTTCTTTTTCTTTTTTCCTACTCACCTTCAACACTTCCTTAGAAACACTTGATTTGGTCTTTTTCTATTAGGCTTAATCTTTTCTAGATATAATAACAACACTTTCCTATAAACAAACAAAAAGTTAAAGAACTCCCTTTTATGTCTGCCACAAAGTTGTCTAATAATATCTTACAAACTCAACAAAAAGTCCACCTTTTTTTTCCATAAATGAAACTAATTCTTGGCTTCAACCCCATCCAAGTTCCAAATTTCACAACTTGGAGAACTATAACATAAACAAGAAGAGATTCAAGATTTTGAAGCTATCAAGCATGGTAATGGAAGTTAGTATTATTCCTTAATTTTAGTTTGCTGCTAAAAAATCAATGCATATAAGGTTGAAATGAATGTGTCTTGGAGGAGAACCAGTGAGGTTGGTGTGAAAAATGGTCAAAGTTTTAAGTATTGGATAGTAATGGCAAATTCGTTATCAGAGAATGCAGACAATGGTCGAAAATGGTGATTTTAAGAATGGGTAAATAAAAAAGTTTTAAGAATTAAGGATTAAAATATATAATGAGTGACAATCTCAAAAACTAAAATATTTGAAAAAGATATACTACATTGAAAATAATGTCAATTTTACCATGCAATCAATTATACAAGTCACTTAATGTAAAATGTTAGCATTTTGTTATTGTGTGTAGCTCAAAGGACTAAAATAATAAACAGAAACAAAAGTCAGAGACAAATATAATATTTTTAAAATTTTAAAAATTAAAATATTTGACATTTATTATTTTAAGGACTAAAATGAGAATTTTATTTTTCTACTAACTTTGTTCACAGATTCTCCAAAAAGAAAGAGCTCATTGGATGGACCCTAAAAATAAACTTAAACTTGGTGCAGATGAAGAAATAAAATGATGATTTAATATATTTTTTTCTGCTAACTTTGTTCTCAAATTCTCCAAAAGGAAGAGCTCATTAGATGGACTCTAAAAACAAACTTAAAGTTAACGTAGATGCTTATGCTAATTTATTTTCAAAGAAGGTAGCTTGCAATAGTCTAATTAGAAACTTAATGTGACTTCTTGGTAGGCTTTACTTGAAACACAGTCCCCCTTCAACAATACATCCAAAACTTCAGGGCTCTTGGTAGGTCTTTACAACTGAAACTTTTGAACTATGAATATGTCACAGAAGAGATGGACTCCAACTTAGCCATCCATTTAATTAATACTAACCTAAAAAATGGTCATAAATTTTTTCCATTAGTTAGAGAAATTAAAGAGGTAATCAATCCTGTATAATTATTTGTGTTTATCATGTTTTTAGGAGAGCAAATAGAAATTTTAAGTTTTAGCTAACATAACACATTTAGAGGGAGATGGATGTACCATTTTCCTAACTCATGCTAATGTGAAGATACTTATGAAGTAAGCTTAAATTAAAAAATTCATTGAAATAATTTTTAAAATTTGAGAATTATAACTATTCTTATGAGCTCTTTTAAACATGATTTATAGTCTGTAAGTTGTTAAAATGTATACTATGTTAACCTCTGGCGTTAGTAGACGACAATAATTTTTAACAAATATGTCTGCAACATACGTTAAATATCAAATTAACATGTTAATCGATAATTGGGTCATTTTTAAAGATTAGCTAATGGAAATCAAATTGAATTTTTCTTCTTCAAAACATGTTTTTTGTTCCGTCATTGGTTGCTTTAGAAAACAATAGAAATTTTGTAAATTACGTCCGGTTCCATCTTTAGCTTGACAAGAACCAAAATGAAGGCATGCATATTTTGAAAAGTCATAGATAAAGCAAGAGTATTAGATGGAGGATTCAAGGAAAATTAATGTGTTAATTTTATATTTTTAAACTTGGAAAGTTACTAAATAATAAAAAATTATTAAATGATTAAAGGGTTAAATAATAATACTCGTCTAATTGTTTTTATTTTAAAATGATTTTATACAAAAGTATTTTCCTGAGTCAAATCATATACTAAATAGAATGTAGGTTGATTCATGCAACTTTCCTGTGCTGACCGCTGAAAATTAGATTAACTTGTATTTTTTCCAAATGCACCTGTCATTTCACTATAAGATCAGTCTAGTCCTTTCAACTCTGGTACGATAATGTCTGCCGAGCTTGTCGGATTTGTTTTTATGTGAATAGAAAGGAAAATGATCTTCTTTTTAACTTCGTGAGAATTTTTTTTAGTATTTTTATTTTTGAATTTTAAAAAAAATAAATATAAAAATAAAAAAATGTACAATATAATACATATAATATTAAGTTTTAGCTATTCAAAAGATAAAATGTTAATTTTTTGAGTTATTAATATTGTTTAGTTGTATTTAAAAGACTGTTGTTTAATTGTAGTTACCATTTTTTCTGTAAAAAAATATATAGATTAATAATTTTATCATTTAACAAAATCTAATGATTAATATTGTGTTTAGTTGTATTTAGAATACTATTGTTTAGTTGCAAATATATTATATGATATATTAATAGTGTGTAAATGTTAATTAAGTTTCGAAGCTATTATTAACAGTTATAAATTGAGACGTGGCAGAAATATGTAAAATAAGCAATAAGTTTAGGCACTTGTCCCTAGCCATTTACTTTGCTGTTTTTCTATAATAAGTTTTTATTCGGATAAGAGAACTTCTTCATATCTTAGACACGTGTTTTGTATTTCAAAAAATGTCAAATATTTTACGCAAAATTTAGACTTTGGGAAAAAGAGATCAATAAGCACGTTATCTCAATTAAAGTTGTAATTTCTTTTAATTAAAATTTATTTTATTAAAATTTTTTCTTAGCATTTTTTATTTTATTGGGATGTTCTTTGTAATTGTCTTTCCATTCAAATGTTAATCATTTCATTTTTATTAATTTTATTAGAAACATACTAATAAAAGTTTATTAAGATGATCTTTAATTTAATTATAATTTTTTTTGAATTTATTTATTTATTGAAAAAAAATTACTATAAACAGTAGCATCTCATCATAGCAAGTGAGAAAGTGAAGGTGAGGTAAAAATAACGGAGACGAGAGCATTAAAAGTTAAGAGAAATAAAAAAAATTCTAAATCTAAGACTAAGAGCATATTTAAATTTTTTTAAATAGTCTTTTATTTTAAAAATAAAGAAAAATATAATTTTAGTTTTAAAAACAATTTAAAAAAATCATATTCTAATAATGTTGTGAGAATGATGGTTTAAAAGTGGTAAAGCATTAACATTATTATAAACTTGAAGAGTCGCTAGGATGTTGTAAGGTAGCGAATTCTAACTCACTTTATTTGTATGTTTTATTTAATTTATAAAAATATTATTAATGAAAATTAAGTTTTCCGCATCTTGCAAATTTTGAGAAAAGAAATAAAAAAATTTTAAAATTAGTTTTTAAAATTTAAATTAACAAATAAGTTTTTAAATTTTTTAGTTTTAAAAACTGTAAACTATATTTAAAAAGAAAAATAAATACTCCTTTGACGTCTTAGTGAATTTTTTTTTTTGGAGTCCAAAAGTCCATCACATATGACAAAATAATTAAATAAATTGTATCCTCGGACGTCTTCTCTTATTTAAACAGACATTACGAATATAAACATAAATTCAATGCAATAATGCATTATATAACGTTAAAATAATGCATGAAGATGAATCTTTGAAATAATGTATTAGTGTTTAAAATTTTTTTAGAAAATAATTAATTTATTGTTAAGTTTTATGAATAACATTTAAGAAAATAGTGGTTTTAAAAATAAATTAAGAGTTTTGTTAACTTTTATTTTTAAGATTGAACTTAAGTATTTTAAATAAAAAATGTTTATTATATTAAAATTATAAAGTTATAATAAATATTTTTTGAGACTTAAATCTTACTAATTTTAACGTATAGTTACAACAAATTTCGCCGCCACCTGTATTAAGTCAATCAAATCAAACAGGACGTTGCGTTGGTTCAATTGCTGATTTAGATTTAAAATATTACGATTTTGTAAGGATATTCATGTTTCATTCAACGTTCCCGTATCAACCTTGATCCTCATTTCAATATAAAAGGAGAGGAGTTGTACTAATCTTAACTACAAAAGTTCAGTGATAAAGATCAGAAAATCATCGCAACACCATGGCGGCTCACTTTCTAGGCTTGCCAAGCCAATTGTCGTTTACCACACCAATAATAACAACAGCTTCATCACTTCCACCAAAGAGAAGCTCCATGCAAACACCTTCTCTTCTCAAATGCAAACCTTGGCGAGTCCCTTGCGCAGTTAGCACAGAACATACCCAAACAACAGAAAATAACAGACGTACCGCCAATTACCAGCCCAACCACTGGAATTTTGATGCCCTGTCTCTGAGAAATAACACTCAGGTGATTATAGATATGAGTTTTGTTATATATTTTTTTTACCTTTTCTTTTATTTTCTTATAAAATGATAAAAAATAATATTTTTATTTAATATTTAAGAAAATTTATAGATATAAAAAAAAATACAAAAATTAGATTTATTTTATCAATTTTGTCAATATCATACTTTAGAACTGAATTTAAACATTTAAAATTAACTAGTAATTTTTTATTAAAAAATATTCCATTCTTTAATAAAAGAATTATTAATTTTAGATTGTTAAAATCAATTCTAAGGCTAACAAAATCGTTGTTCGTATATACCCATGTTGATTTTGCATCTTTTTTTCTTTAATTTGCCGCTATCTTGTAAAATCTTCCACAAGGGCAAAAACAGACGCTATTATTGTTCTTATAACCTTCGGAACGATTTGGCTTTGCATTATCATAAACATAATAATCCAAGCACAGGTTGAAGCAGTGCAAGAGAGGGCTACAAAGCTTGAGGAGGAGGTACGAGGCATGATCAACAGCTTAGAGATAGAGCCACGAAGCTTACTCGATTTAGTTGACAAAGTCAAGCGCTTGGGATTGAATTACAAGTTTGAAGAAGACATTGAGAAAGCCCTTGAAATGATTGTTTCAGTGAATGATACACACAAAAGTGGGTTGCATTTTACTGCTCTTAGTTTCCGTCTACTTAGAGAACACGGCTTTCATGTGTCCCAAGGTATCTTATCTAGCTGTAGTTCTTGTTAGTGTCGGTCAAACTCAAAAGTCCAAAATTTCAATACACGTTAGGAAAGTATGCTATCTAACACCACTTAAAATTTTACTTGTGTAGCCATCATTTTTAGTGTGGATATTCACTTACACATACATTCCATTTTCTTTTAGTAGTAGTGTAACCACAGTTATAATAATCATAATTGAAAGTTACAAACCATACTCATAATATAAATACACTTCCGCCTAATAATTCTTTATAATTATTATATTTTATCCATATAGTTTATATTGAAAGTTTGAAAATGTATAAGATGTTAAAATAAAATCATCAATTAACTATTAATTAATTTTGATTTTTATTCTTTATATAAATTTTATTCACTTTAAAAGAAATTTTAATTTAATAGTTGGATTGATGAAACTTAATATTTATAAAATTATTAAATATAATATCAAGTTACTTTGCTTAATAATTCTTTGTAAACATTGAATTTTATTAATTGAATTATTATTTTTAAATATATAAGTGTACAAAAAATCATAAAAATAAAAAATTAATAAAAATTTTATTTTTCAATTTTATTTTAACATCTAATATATATTCTTAAAATACAAATAAATGTTGAATATAAAATTACATACCTAAATTAAAATATACTTACCCGTATGACTTTTTTAAAATGATTATATAACTATTAATTAATTTTTTCATATTCACCATATGGGTAAGAGAGAGAGATGGAGAGAAGGAATCAATGTGTAGGGCGAGTTATTAATTATTATACAGGCAATAACTACTTAATATATTTTTTATCAATTTAATTGTTAAATTATCATTATATATTATTTTTAATTATTTATATTAAACTTTATCAAAATTTATTAATCAGCCATAATAATTTAATAATAAAGTTTTATTTTCATATATCTTATATTCCACTAATTTTGATAATTAAATGAATAATATATCAAATTATTTAAAATTAATATAAAATTTAATAAAAATAATTTACATTGATAAAAAAACTTCTAATCCAACAATTAATATATCCGATCATATTGACGATATGTGTGAACTGCAGATGTGTTTGGGAGTTTCAAGGATAAAGAGGGAAGTTTCAAGGCTGAAATTAGCAATGATGTGCAGGGTTTGTTAAGTTTATACGATGCATCATATCTTGCCTTTGAGGGTGAAACTCTCTTGGATGAGGCAAGGGAATTTTCAAGAACTCATCTCAACAACAAACTAAAAGAAGCAACGGCGACCAAAATGGCAAAACAAGTGAGTCATGCATTGGAACTTCCTTATCATCGAAGATTGCAGAGACTAGAGGCTCGATGGTTCATTGACAATTATGAAGAAAAGACACCCCACGACCATTTACTACTAGAGCTTGCAAAATTGGATTTCAACATGGTACAATCATTAATGCAAAACGAACTGCAAGAACTGTCAAGGTGATAGAAATCGTTAACTTCAATCACCATATGAAATGTAACTGCGATAGGATACGATTATATGATCTATTTATCTTATATTAATTTTTTTGTCATAGGTGGTGGAGGGAGATTGGACTTGCTAGCAAACTGGACTTTGTTCGTGACCGATTAATGGAGGTGTACTTTTGGGCACTAGGAATGGCCCCTCATCCTCAATTAAGCAATTGTCGAAAAGTTGTCACTAAAATGTTTGGACTGGTCACCATCATTGATGATGTATATGATGTCTATGGTACTTTGGATGACCTACAACTCTTCACAGATGCTGTTGAGAGGTTTATTCTGCAGCACAATTTAACTTTGATTATTTGTTTTAAGTTTTTTGAAACTGATTAATTAATTGATAGTATATATAGAAGAAAAATGTTAGTTATGCACTACTTTTAACATTCTCTATTATCTGGTAAAACTCATAAGGATGAGGATCTAACTTTTTATATATGGTGTAATTTATTATATGAATCTTATCTAATTATAAAGAATAATTGCGATGTTATTTTTAAATATAAATGTTGCGTATCTCACAGTTACGTACTTTTTGTATGTACACGCTTACAGATGGGATGTGCATGTCATAAATGCACTTCCAGAATACATGAAGCTGTGCTTCTTAGCCCTATATAATACTGTTAATGACACGGCGTATACCATCCTTAAAGAGAAGGAAGAGAACAACCTTCCTTGTCTAGCAAAATCTGTAAGTACATTTAATTAGTTTTCTCTCATTCGTGTTTCATACAGTAAATAGAGAGCTCTAGGCCAATAAAATAGAAACACCTTACTAATAAAATTAATGATGTTATAATATTTTATTAACCATCAAATATTAATAAAATAATGAATTTAAAATTTTAACACCTTACTTTTCATATATACCTGCTTATATCTTTTTCTCTTCCCTCTTAAGATATGTATATACAACTCAAAGCGGGTAATTTTTTGTAATAAAATAAATATAACTTAATGATGTTTTATTATTTTACTAGTTGCCAAAGTTCAATAAAATTAAATTAGTAACTTTAATTGGATCACTTTCATGTTAATCCTCAGTGGTCTAACTTGTGCAAAGCATTCCTCCAAGAAGCAAAATGGTCGAACAACAAAATCATTCCGGCATTCGATGAGTACTTGGAAAATGCATTAGTTTCCTCTTCTGGTGGGGCATTACTTGCTCCTTCTTACTTCTTGGTCAGCCCAAACAACACAAACCAAGCACTTGATTCTTTAACTAATTGCTTTGGCCTTGTGCGCTCCTCATGCACCATATTTAGGCTGTGCAACGATTTGGCTACTTCGGAGGTAATCTCAACAATTCTAATTCTAAATTTGAACCAAGAAGAATTTTGGGCAGCACTTCCCCACCAAATTGGACACTTTGATCGATGTGTTCTGTTTTGTTGGAAAATACATTGCAGGCTGAGTTGGAGAGGGGTGAAACTACAAATTCTATCACATCTTACATGCATGAGACTTGGACTTCTGAGGAGCAAGCACGTCAAAATCTTAGAATTTTGATCGACACAGAGTGGAAGAAGATGAACGAAGAGCAGTTTTTGGATTCAAAATTTCCAAAAGCTTTTATGGAAATAGCTATTAACATGGCCCGGGTTTCCCATTGCACATACCAATTTGGAGATGGACTTGGAAGGCCTGATAATACAGCACAGAACAGAATCAAGTTGTTACTAATAGAACCCATTCCAATTAGTGTAACAACATGATGCTTCATAATTTGTTGTATACTGTTGAAGATTACCTTTTAGTACACTTGTAATCCATTAAATAATATTGTTAGAGTTGCTTTAAGTTACTTTGAGTTAATAAAGTCTATAAGGTTCTATGTAACTCCTTCTTCCAAGTGCTCATTAATCTATAATTTAATGTGTATGTGCTACTACTATTATGTGAGATAAATGATAAATTTCATGTCCAAAAGCTATTTTCCTTCCTTCAAATTCTACAAAATTATGTTGTACAATAGCATTACCTCAGATATGCTATATTTGCTTGAGTGATGTAGTTGAAACTTACCGCATCAAATACCACTATGTGTACCTTCCACGTGTGTGTCTATTTATTTTATTTAATTATTTTGTTTAAAATTAATTAAAATTAAATATATTTTAAATATAAAAATATTATAAATAAAAATCATAAATTTATTATTTATTAAATTATAATAAAATTTAATCATAAAAAATAATATTAAATGTAAACATTAGCAAACATATAAAATATTTCATTATGTTGTTAATTTAGCTTTTTTATTTATTCATTTTTAACTAAATTTAATATGATTTATTAATTCATTATGATTTTAATTAAAAATTAATAATAAAATATTTAGTTATACAACAATTAAATAATAAAATATCAACAATAATTAAATTTTAAACATAAGTAAGAAAAATGTATTATTTTACTATTGTCATAATTTTTTTAAAAAAAATACCAAATATTATCTAATATGAATAATAAAAAAATTATATGCTAAAAAGTACAAATAAAACAATTTATTTTTTAATTAAATATTATATATATTATAATAGATACAAATATGAGACATACTAAAGAAAGAAATATATATTTAAAATTGCATAAATCAACAATTAAAAGTCCAAAGAGAATTGCATTAAATTTGCGGACCATAACATATTTGTCTTTGTGAATTTTTTTGCAATCAATCTCATGTCATAGATGTACTATTCCATCTAGATAATATTCCAACAGTCACACGTAATAATGCTTTTAATTTGGAGCAGCCTATAACAAAAGAAGAGGTCTCACTAACTTTACATGCTATGCACCCTTACAAGGCTCCTAGGTCTGATATGTTCCAAGCAATCTTCTACCTATGTTATTGACGTGTAGTGAGTAGTCATATAAGCAAACTAGTTAGTGATATTTTTGAAAAAGACACTTTTGATAACAAGCTCTCGAAGACTTTTATCTCTCTCATTCCAAAAGTGAACCATCTTAGCAATTTCAAGAAATTATGGCCTATTAGCTTTTGTAATGTCTTGTACAAAATCATTATAAAGGTACTTGTTAATAGGTTGATACCTATTCTTAATAACTTTATTATTCTTCTCCAAAGTAGTTCCTTCTAGGTTGGGGTACTATAGACAACACAATTATTTTGCAAGAAATCTATTATATGATGCACAAGTCCAAGAGAAAAAAGAGGGATGTTGCCTTTAAATTAAACCTAGAAAAGACTTATGATCACATTGATTGGAAATTCTTAATGTGTACCTTCCTAAACTTTGGGTTTCTAAATAAAGTAGTGGCTCTTATTATGCATTGTGTTACTACCTCATCCATGAGTGTTTTATGGAATGAGAATAAACTTCCTTTACTTTCTCCAAATTACAGCTTCTGCAAAGTGATCCACTTTCTTCGTATCTTTTATTTTTGTGTATGTAGACGTTGACTCTTACTATATAAAATTCTATGAGGAATAATCAATTGCAACTAGTTAAGGTTAGCAAAAATGGCCCAACTATATCACATATACTTTTTACCGATGATGTGCTTTTATTTACCAAAACTAAAAACTTTCAAATCAGAATCATAAAGAAAATTCTCGATTGATTTAGTGTTGTATTTGGTTTAAAGGTTAACTTGATAAAATCTTGGGCTTATTCTTCAGTTGGTATTAATGGTTGGAAACAAGTCAAGTTCACCTCTATCTTAAGTATTCGCCTTACTCTTTCCCTTGATAAGTATCTTGGCTTTCCAACAATTTTAGGTAGAGTGAAAAAAAGACACTTTGACTCATTGTGAAGAAAATTCAACATAGATTTACTAATTAAAAATCTAGTTTTCTTAATAAATTAGGACATTTAACTCTAGCTAAATTAGTTATTACAACAATCCCAACAAACTACCTACAACTATATTGATTGCCTCAATCAATTTGTCACTTGATTGATAAGTTTGGGCATGATTTCCTTTGGAAGAATAATGATAGAAAAGAAATTAAACTGGTGAATTAGGACACAATCATTCGTGGAACTCAATATGGTGGGTTTGGTCTGAGAATAATGATGGAAGCTAATGTGGCCTTATTAGGTAAAAGAGTTTGGAATATAATGAATAAAAAAGATAAACTTTGAGTCCAACTTCTTAGAGAAAAATATGTTAAGGAAGATAATTTATTAGATCGTAATAAAGATGGAGGGTCTCACTCGTAGCAAGAAATCAAAAAGACTGAAAATATTATGAGAGATGACTTTTCGACTTAGTAAATGGCAAGTTTCCTTGTGGTATTATGACTATGTCAAGATTGGGTAAACTATGTGACTACACTTCCTATATCAACATTCAAGATATAGAGCTGCAAGTTAAAGATGTTTAGACCCAATAGGAGTGAAATTTTTCTCAAATTGCCACTTTGATACCAACATTAATTACTTCAGTCATTCATCAATTTAACTTGTCAATTAGTAGTTATGTTGAGGATAATTTTATTTGGTTTAGGAGAGAAGTTATACAACTGAATATTGTTTTTATTGGCTTGTTGGTATGATAACTTCATACAATTACTACGCCAAAAATGAGTTTTTGTAGCGCAATCTTAGATAGCGGTTAGTAAAAATCGCTTTGTATAAGAGACTAAGAGAGCGGTTAGCGCTCAATCACTCTCCAATTTAACCTTTTTAGAGCGGTTCTAGATGAACCACTCTCTAATGTACTCTTTTGAGAGCGGTTATAAACGAACCGCTCTGTAATATATACTTATCAGAGCGGTTCAGTTGTAACCGCTCTCCTAACTTAACTTGGATAACAGTTAAGAAGTAACTGCTCTTAAAACATCTAAATTTTGGAGAGAAGTTTTGAATAAACCACTCTCTTATATATACTTATAAGAGCGGTTCATTTGTAACTACTCTCTTAAGTTAGCTTGGAGAGCTATTAGAAGATCTATATTTCAGAGAGCGGTTGACACGTGGAACCGCTCTCTTAAAGATTACAAAGCAGTTGACACATGGAATTGTTGTAAGAAGTGTAAATTAGAGAGCGATTAAGTCTTAACTACTCTTGAAAGTTGATTTTCAAAAACAACCCTAACCCCCAAATTTCGTCATTACTGTCCTCGCGTCTACTCTGTACTTCTAAATTTCTCTGTGTTCCCAATGTTCACTGAGATACTTGCATTGCAGAAAACCACCGTTGACATTGCAGTGATACTCAGAAGGTATTTTCTTTATCGTTTCTGTGTTTCCTGAAGCAACGTATGTACTTTTGCACTGCAATTTTCTCTCTGTTGTTGAAGAAGATCTTAAAGATTATCCAAAGATATTTGAGAGGCTAAATAATGATGCGGAAACACCATTGTATAATGGATGCAGAAAGTTCACAAGATTAAGTTTTATGTTAAAGTTTTATAACCTCAAAGTTTCAAATGGATGAACTGATAAAAGCTTCACAGAGTTATTAACTTTATTAAATGAGATGCTACCAGAGGATAGTGTGCTACCTACGAGAACATATGATGTTAAACAAGTACTTGCTTCTATTAGATTAACCTATGAGAAGATACATGTCTGTCCTAATGATTGCATTTTGTTTCAAAAGAGTATGCATCACTAAGCTAATGTCCAAAGTGTAATGAGTCATGTTACTTAAAGAAAGAATCTACACCTGCAAAGGTCATGTGGTATTTTCCGGTAATTCCAAGATTAAGGCGCTTATTTCGCACTGCAGAAAATGCAAAGCAAATGACTTGGCATGCTGAAGGCAGAATTAAAGATGAGAAGCTTAGGCATCCAGTAGATTCTCCTCAATGAAAATAATTTGATGATGAATATAAAGACTTTGCAGTAAAAACAAGTAATATACGTTTTGCTTTGACAACCGATAGATTGAACCCCTATGGCATGCAAAGTAGCACCCATTGTACATGGCTGTGATTTTATTAATATATAACTTACCTCCATGGCATTGCATGTAGTGAAATATATGATGTTTTTTTTGTTAATCTCTAGTCCTAAACAACCTGGAAATGACATTGATGTCTACTTGTCTCCTCTAATTGAAGATTTGAAGTAGTTTTAGGAAATCGACATTGAAGTATATGATGAGTTTAGAGATGAATCTTTTACTCTTAAGCTAATATTGTATGGTACAATTAATGATTTTTCTGCTTATGAAAATCTTTTTTGTTATAGCATAAAGGGTCAATATGCATGCCTAATATGTTCTGAAAATACAAATTATATCAGACTTGAACATTGTCATAAGAATATTTTCATGGGGCATCGTAGGTAGTTGCTACGAAGTCATCCTTTCAGAAAAATGAAAAGCCTTTAATAGAAGTTGTGAAGAATGATGATGTCTATATTCAAAAAATGGAGAACAAATCTTTGAAGAGGTTAAAGACATCAAAACAACTTTTAAGAAACCATTTGCTAAAGACATTTCAAGTAGAGGTTGGAAAAAGAGGTCAATTTTTTTTGAGTTACCCTATTGGAAATGTTATACATAAGACACTTTGTTGATTCTTCTTTTGAACTACAAGAAGCTTATTTAGAAGGGACAATTAAGGCAAGTAGGTTTTCATTTATATCTCCCTATGAAATGGATGGAGACCTCAATTAGACCCCACAAAAACAAATAGATGACATGTTAAAGCGTCATAGGGTGAAGATCACTTGGTTTTCGCACCATATAATGTTGGGTAAGTCAATCTTATGACCATGCATATTTGTTTTATAATTTTCATTATCATATTTAATTATTGTAATCTTAAACATTTATTTTCACTATTTGGTAGGGAACATTGGATCCTAGTTGCCATCAACATCTCTAATGAGACAATGTATTATATGGATCCCCTCCGCAAACAGCTGAAGACCAAACCACATATGCAAAACGTATTTAATAAGTAAGTATACATGATTTTTCCTGCTAGCTGGTGTATCATATATGAATATGGTTTAATTGTAAATTTGTTCTTTCATCCACCATTGTTAGTGCTCTTGTCACATATCGAGTAGAGAGAGAAGTGCAGCCCTCTAGGACAAAGATGCATCAAACAAGATGGGTCACTATATAGGTATATATATGATACAAAAACTCTTTTTACTTGTAACTTATAACACTGTATAGTTTACACTCAATATTTTTCAATTATTAATCATGTTTTTTATGTTGTTTTCCTCCATGTACATAGTGTACTAAGCAATCAAATAATGATGACTATGCATATTATGTGTGTCTCTTCATTGGAGATGCTTTGCACCATGGACAAACTATATTCCTAGTTAATGTAAGAGGACTGCATATCCAAAATCTTGATATATCATTTCAATTTCTTCTAGGATAGTGTCTGATCATTTGGATTATATCTAATATAACTAAGATTTGTAACTTATTTTCTTTTCAGTATTTTCAAGAGTATCAATTACCAACCTTTCCTGACAATAGAACTCATCAAGTGCAAAGGGAGTGGTGTGCATATATGTACTGTAAATATTTAAAGGACACATTAAGTACAATTGATTCTTAGTACTTTTTTTTACAAGACTTAGTCATATTTGTAAATTCATTAGGCAAAAGTGTATAAATTGTTGAGCCTTTTTAATTGTGATTCTCTGTAATTGTATCTGTACATATTCATCATTTTTTATGTATTAATGTTTTGATACTTTGGAATGATAAATATTCATATGTTACAAAATTTATTTGATTTCTAATTGATAAAATGTAATGTGGATATGGTTTATTTTTGTGGTATATCAAGTTGTTGTAATCTATTTGCACTATTTTTGAATAATATGGTTTATTAGGTATGTGAAAAATTGGGATAATGTCAATTTTGTTAAAACCTAGACAAATTTTTTTCAAAACTTTAATTTTGAAAAATAAAAGTTTATAAATATAAAAAATACGTAATTACAAAAAAAATTATGATAATAAAGGAAAATTAAGTAATAGTTTTAATCTCTAAAATTTTAAATAAAATTTACATATTATTATGAGTCAATTTTAATCCTAAGATATACATGTGGTGAATTATAAAGGAGAATAACTTATTATTTTACTTTTTAAAGAAAGACTCTCGTTTATAATATACACATGTTGATATGATATGTATGTATATTTTTTGTGTGGGTGGATGTGTTTTTTTTTTTTTTCCAAAAGTTGAAAAAAACAACACAAGAATAGCATTTAAAATATAATTTAATTGGTTCATTTGAAAAACATTGAATATGTGTTTGAAAATAGCGTGTGAAAAAATATAAAAGATATAAATAGTAACAAAATTAAAATAATATTGTATCTAATTACATTTTAACGTAAAATCAACTGGGTTATGAATGGACAATTATACTTTTGATGCACTTGTGCTCCAATGATTAAATTCTTTTAATGTATTTTTAACGTTATGTTTTTATGCATTCAAGAAGGCATTCAAATTCAAAGCTCACAAGGTATGAATATTACATGTCTCTTTAACTATTCATACTTTAATTATGGGAATATTTACCCAAATTTGGTTTAATTAAATAATTTGGTTGGAAAGGGAAAAAAAAATGGGGGAAAACATGGCGAGATACAAGATTTACAAGTAGAAAGAACAAAAATATATGTAGAAGAAAAGCCATCAAATCAAAAAACTAAAAACTTTTCGTCCGTGGTGCGATTCGGATTCAACTTGTCAACCCACGCATCCTTATCTTTGTGATTATTATCGTCGTCTTTCTGCACCCCATCCTTCGTTTTCTCAGCTTCATTATTTTTCTCTTCGACACCTTTAGTCTTTGGGAAAAATATTCCATGAACAAAGGACTCCACATCTTTTTTTGAAAACCCTGTCGTGTCGTCAACGTCGTTCTGAGGAATATACGGTGGACGCGCAATTTGCAAGACCGTGTCCCATTGCACACCCTTGAAGAAATCGTGACCCTTGATTTCATCCACTTCGATCCTACATTCTGGATCTTTATTAAGCAGCTTCTGAATCAAGTCCCTCAACGGCGTCGTTTCACCCGTAAAATCAGGGTTCTTGGTTAAAATCCGGTGAAACGTTTCTTTCCTATTTGCGCCCTTATACGGCGTCGTACCATAGAGCATTTCATACAAAACAACGCCTAATGACCACCAATCAACCCCGAAGTTGTGCCCTTCGCCAGATATAACTTCCGGTGCCACGTAATCCTCTGTTCCCACGAACGAGTTGGACTTTTCCACTGAGTTTGCCCTGCTTCGATGCGCCGAGTTCCGGTCGGATTGATTCTCCAACTCATCCGAGGGTATGAATGATTGACTATAACAGTTGAACAGCGAGAACCATCGCTTCCTTCGCTCTTTCTCTGATCCTGAGTCAGAAACGAGTGACGAGTTGCAACTCAGTGAGTTTGGGGACTTTGTGTTTAACTTCTTGGAGAGGTCGAAATCCACGAGCATTATGTGACCTGTTTCTTGGATCATGATGTTCTCTGGCTTCAAATCCCTGTACACTACTCCGAAACTGTGCAAATACTCCAATGCCAGCACCAATTCCACTGCATAAAACCTTCACAAGGAAAACGAAATTGCATCAGATCATTGACGACAAAAATGAAGGAAAAATTCAACATTTCAAAGAGGGAAATCAAAACTCAGTTCTAATCATGACAAAGTTTTCCATTTTTTATTTTATTTTCATTTACTTGATACAAAAAGAAAGAATTTTTTTTTGAAAAAAATTCTAATCACGCAGAACAGAACAATAAAAGAAAGAAATGTTACTCATATAATAAAATCTAATAAAAGTTCTTATGATTTAAAAAAACTAAAAAAATTAAGATAAAATTGATAATGTGATAACAAACTATTAAAAAAATATGATTTACATATCTCATTCCTCTTCCTCAAACACTGTTTGTCACTTCAAAATCACCGAACAGAACAAAAAACAATTCCATTTTTAAATTTCCCCTCACGTTAGAGAAAGCGAGGAAAATTTTCAAAATTTTCCATTGATCTGAATCTTAATTAGTCGTGTGCATGCATTTTCCAGAATCATTTTCTTCTACTAAAAAAATTGAAAAAACAACAAAATACAACAATATTTTCCGATTTTAATTTCCCCACTGGAAAGGAGAAAGGAAATTAAAAATGAGGTACCTTATGGTTTCTTCAGCGAACGTTTTCTCAGATTGCTTTTTCCTAAGAGAATGCAGATTTCCACCGTGGCAAAAATCAATAGCGAACCCAGTGATTTGTTCTGTTTCAAATGCCCCATGGAACTTGGGCAACAATGGGTGATCGAAATGACGCAGTATGTGTCTCTCAAACGACACCCTTTTGCACTCGCCGTTGTTTTTGTTCTTCTTCTGAAGCAACGCCTTCGACACCACTTTCAACGCCAACCATCTCCCGCTACGCGCGCCATACGTCCTCGCCAAGAACACCACGCCCTTGGCGCCGCGTCCCACGGCAGATAAAATCTTAAGGTTTTGAAAGTCCAAGGTTTCACTGCGGCGGAGATTCTTACTATCGCCGTCTCTGTGGCCGCCGTTCATGGTGGAGGTTACTGGGTACCTCGAGAGAGCCCCAACGGTGTTGGTTGACTCGGGGTACGTTTCAGCTGTGCTTTGTTGTTTGGAGAGGGTTTTATAGGGTTGCGTAGGTGTGGTTCTATGCGAAATATTTCCCATGCATATTTCATGTGTTCTTTGTGTTTCGTTGATTGTTGTACACGTGGCAAAATTTTATTGGGAATAGTGTTTTAAAATGGGATTGTCAGGGCGGTAGAGAAACTTTGCCCAATGACAACTTGATGGAAGATAGAGGATTACGTGTGCTTCTAGTAGGGACGTTCAAACTTCAAAATCAGAAGTGGCTATAATAAGAAAATGGTTTACCCAAAACAAGGAAGAAAATGCAAAAAGTAACATTGGATCATCGCGACAGTACTTGAAATACGTTCTAGAAGGATAATTACAATTTTCTCTAGAAATTTTGAAATTTTAAAATTCTCTTTTTAATTTTAAAAATTTTATTTTTATTAATAAAGGATAAAAATGTATTGAATGTAAATAAATCTCTTAATAATAACGAGCTACAATGAATAAATTTTTATAACTATTTTTCATTTTTTTTGTGTTGTCAGTAACTAATTTCCTGCACTATTAGCCTATTAAGGAAAGGGATGGAGTCGGGGAAGCACGTTACAAATGAAATTGTCCATTCTTAGAAGATATCATTTAAGTTACTTTTATGTTCTAAACGAGATCTCATCATCATCAAAACTCAATTGATGCATATCCGTCCATGGTCAACAATGTCAACGAAATCTACAACAATGACATCAACATATTCAATAACCTGATCTTGTATCCTCGCACTCTTTTCTTCCTCAAAATCATTTCTTAATCTACCTGTTTAGAGTAATCAAAATTTTTTAAATTAAAAATTATGTTGAAGAAAGCTACATTTTGACAAAATTTTGAGGATCATGAAGGAATTTAAAAATAGGTCTAAACTTAAGAAGTATTAGAAAGTTGTCTAAGATTTTTTAGTTTTCATATAAAAAAGGACACATCTTGAGCTATTTTAGAGGTTTTTGTTATCTCGTTTATTTTTCTCTAAAACTGCTCGAAAAAATAGGACTGACAAGAAAATATTTTAAGTCCACAAAATTGATGACTTTTTCGAGGAGTTTCTAAGTTCCTAACACCCAAAACTGTTCAAAAAACAAGAAGTGGTCAGAAAATATTCTAAGTCCACAAACCTGATTGAGATCTAGAGTCCCTCCAGAATTGCTCGAAAAATAGGAATGAGCAAAGAAAATATTTCAAGTTCACGAGACTAAGACAAGCTCTCAAAATTCCAAAATTAGTTGAAAAGAGAAGTCAAAGGGAAATTATTATAAGGCTATAACACTAAATGAGCCCTCTTAGGTTTCTCCCAGAAATACTCGAAAAGATAGAAAAAAACAAAAGCCTTAATAATCAAGTCATTGTAAAAATCTAAAAGCGGTCACTAGCAGTCATCAACATATTTACCACTAGGCAAAAGAGATCGTGGGTGATAGCGGTTCTGAAAGAAGCCTCAACCAACAGTACGATCACAAACAATCATGGATAATGGGCATCAATAGTTGAAGGTAGTTACTAAGAAGTGCCCGCAAAAGGAGGAGAATAGTGGTGGTCATCCTGCCTATAAATACTCCAAAGCATCATTTTACAGGGGACGATTTTTTACACACTAACACTGCACCTAAATTCTCTGAAGTGCTGAAACCTTGCACCACGCCAGACACCAGCTACCAGAAGATTCACGGTGGCCGTTGTTCGCTGTTGTAAGGAGTTGTACATTTGCATTCCACATATTTACATTCTTATACTTTAATTCCAGTTTCTTTGTTTGTTTGCTTTTGTTCCTATTTCTACAATTTGGTTCCTGTTGTAGTACATTTTTGAAAAAACATCTACTTTTGATTAAATTCTGTTTGATTATTAGTTGCTATTTCCGTTTAATCTTCTACTTTATAACGCTAATTTTACTGTTACATTAACAACACACTTAAAAGAATCCGAAGAGGACCTAATCTAGTCCCTAGATTGCTCTTTGATTATTTGTTTACAAAATTGTTATTTTTTTACCATAAACAGTAAAAAAAAATAAAAATTCAAGCACCATTTAATTAAGCTACATGTGTCTCACTGGAAATCATGGTTGGAGAACCAAAAGAGGTTATGAATGGTATGGCTAATGGTGACTTTTACGGTGAAACAATAAACTATGTCGTATACCATATACTATAATTAAAAAAATTTAATTAAATTTAAGATTAGTAAACAATTAAAGTGTTTGAATGTGAGATGATAATTACTGGTAATGACACAGTAATTTATTTACAATAATTAAATAAGTCATGACCTACCAATAATTAATGATAAGTTTACCATCAATAATTAAATAATATGAACTTAATCATGTACATATATAATTTATAACTATCATACAATAATAATACAAAAAGTAAACATCTTAGTAAAATAATCATAAAAAAAGAAATAGAATAAATTACAAAAATATCGTAATAAATAAATAATACTATAAAAAGAGGAAATAATATAATAGCCCTTTAATATTTCATATAGTTTTATTTTTTAATTTTTTTATAAAAAGACAAAAAAATTAAAAAATTTATAGAAATAGTTTTTATTTTTAAAATAAAATTTTATACAATAAATATTGGATCAATAAACTTCATATTAAGTAAACGGTGGTTTGATTATATAAATTAATTTAATTTTCTTTAACAAAATTTTAATACAGTATTTAATAAATATATAATAATTAATGTATACATACATGCATGTATATTTACACTAGGTAGCTATCATTTAATTTTGATGTATTAAAAAATTTAACTATTAAAATTTATTGAAAGAAAAACTTTATTACTTATTTAATCAATACGAAATTTATGTGATGGAAATTTTTATATTCACATACTTTTAATGTAAAATAATATATAACAAATTATATTTATCATTTAAAAATATTAAAAATATTTATGTATTTTAAATAAAAACTTATTAATTTCTTAAAAATATTTAATTATCAATGTCTATTTAGTATTTCAAATACTGAAAAAAATTAATTGAGTATGTAAGTCTTAAAAACGAACATTCTTATTTTCTTTTTAATTTTAAAATTTTTATTTCCTATTAATAAAGGATAAAAGAGTATTTCATTTTAGTACGTAAATAAATCTCTTAATAACAATGAAAAACTATAACAAAAAAATTATAATTATTTTTTATTCCATTTTCTTTGTACAATTTTCGAGCTGTCGGCAACTAATTTTGAACACTATTATTAATTTTAAAAACAAGTTAAAACATAAGAACAAACTTTAAGGCTATTTGAACACCATTTATTAAAAAGAATTCAACATTAAAATATTTTTATTTTTATTTAAAGAAGACAAAGAACCTATTTGATAGTATATGTTTTCATTCAATATTATATATTTATATTATTTTGAAAAAGTAAGAAATATTTTTCTTAAAACTATATACCGTTGAATAATTATTACTTTTTATATTCTTAAAACATATTACAATAATAATAATAATAATAATAATAATAATAATAATAATATCAACACTAATTATAAAATTTGCTAAAAATTTTATTCCTAAAATCAATATATAGATATTTTGAGAATTTGAAGATTATTAATAATAAAGATTTATTATATTATCTTTATTTATTTATGTTTAATTAATTTATATATTAATAAAAATTTTAAGTAATATTTTAGTCTTTATACTTAATACAAAATTGTAAATAAATTTATTTACATAAATTTTTTTAAGTGTCAATTTAATCTTTTTGTTTTTACTTTCTATTCTATCATTTATAGAATTTGTAACGTCAATGTTGACATGGTTTTTGTCGTAGACTTCTGCGTGTTAAGTTGCCTAGGCTAATACATCAGAGAGTAGCAGTGCCTAGCCATCACTCTTCTAGGCTAGGCAAAGGTTACAAAGTCACCTAGCTTGACTTTAAGAGAGTCAAGGAGAAGGTCATACACTCATACCTACATAAAAGAACAGAAGAAAGGGCACAACTAGTTTGCACCACTAATAAACTACTAAAGATCCAATTCATTCAAACCTTACTTAGTTTCCCAAACCTTTGTAATGACCCTTGCAAATCCGTAAATCTAAGCATGCCGCAACACAACTAAAGGATGGTCCCCTATGCATTTCATTCTTTCCAAAAGGAAAAACAAATAAGTACCCCCATCATGGTGAACCTTTCCTTCTGATCGGGATAAGGTAGATGCCTCCCAGTTGGGGGCGGATTGAATCAAAGTTTCCTTAGGTAGCTACTGACTTAAGGGTGTCCTTGAACTTCCATGCTTGGTAGAGGAGAAGCGAACAAAGGTACACTCGCTTGCTGTATTATTCTTTGCAGCTAACAGAATTGCTCGCCAACTAGGTCAAATTGGAGCAAGAATTTTTTAGAACATATTACCCATATTCAGGGACAAGAGGCGAAATGACCTCTTTATCTGCTTACTGCAACCTAAGAATAAAAATGTCATCTCCTTGACGCCTAAGACATTGTCTAGGCCAAAAGCCATGGTTAATTAATTATTATTTCTATTTGGTTGTTTTTTCTCTTATTATTGATACTGACAAGACTTGGTTGGTAGTGAGAGGACTCATAGTACTTGTATACCTAAAGAAAAGGAGGCCCAGATTAAATTAAAAAATAATCATTTGATTGATTTTCATTCTTACTCTCCCTTAGCAGTGGGAAAGGAGTCTATCTATCTGCCTAACTTTGGTAGATTTTCCCAACACAATCCATAGTAATTCCACGAATCCCTTGGTGGATAAGTTGGACGACTTAGCGGTAGTGCATAATTTACTTTCTTATCTGGTGGATCTAATCTTTAGGGGGCCATACATACCAAAAGTGCTTTAGTGATTTTTAATGGTCTGAAAACTGTGTTGAATATTTTATGTGAGACTAAAATAAATCAATTTTTGTTATAATTTTAATTTAATTTCAAATTAAATTAGGTGTCAAAATATTGAATCATGCTTTTAGCCTATGTTATAAATAATTGTTGTTATTGGACTTATTTATAATAACTTTTTAATTATTAGTGAATATAATTTTATGGTTATTATTATTGAGCCATAATGGATAGACTTGACTCACTCTATTATGACCCTTGCTCCTAACCAAAATAATTACAGTCTCATTGAGACAGTGTATGTAAAACATTTGAAAGAGTGATAGGAGGAGTTCTCTCTCCGTTTTCTGGTTTCCTCACATTGATTAAAGAAGCACTCAGTCATGGACTCATCAATTTCTAATGTTCTGAATAATTCTAACACCTAATCCTATTATAGCATATGTGTATCATTTGTCATATTGAGAATTAGATTTTAATTTTTTCCTTCAAGTGATATCAGAGCTTGTCTAATTCTGATATGTCAAGGATATTAATATTGTTAAAAATGTATATTCATACAACGAGGTCTAATAGATTAATTTAGGATTTTAAGTTTTCTTTTGATTAATTTAAAAATTAATTTGAGACTTTTATTATTAGTAATGTTCTGAATAAATCAACATAAAAATTGTGTGAAACAAATTAGTGTATAAAGATAATTTTAGTTTTGAAATTCCAAACCCTTAATTTTTATTATATATATAATTGGAATTATCATCGGAGGATGGTGCTTAATTTGTGTTAATTCTATTGTGTTCTTGTGCATTAAGTGGTTTGTGAATCTAACATTTATCCTTTTGTTTATTACATTATTCTTCGTGAATCCAATATTATGTTATTCTTCGTGAATCTAATATTCTTGTGCATTAAGTGCACTTCTTGTGATGAAGACATTTTATGATTGAGAATTTCTACATTCTAAGGTTCAATTTATATTGTTCATAATATTTTGCTCTATTTATACTTAATAAGAAAAGCAGTTTAGTGCATAACCCATTTACAATTTAAGTAAATTAGAAGTTTCTTACATTAGTATTTTATTGACTAATTTTTGTATATTATGTTTTGGCATACTCCCAAATTTGGTGTTGTTTAATTGATTGAATAATTTTATGCTAAATTATATGCTTATTTTAATTATGTTATATTGCTATTATAGAATTTGGTGACATATTTTTATGAAGTGTGTTGTTTTAGACCATTTCATAATGTTGTTGGATATTTTTCACAATTGTGAGCTTGCCTTCATGGGATGGATTGTGATAAAATACTATTATATAAAAATTATTGTTATTATTGTGGCATTGAGAATTACTTTAAACAATGCACCTACCTGATAAGTCTATATTTAGGTTCTCTTTTACAGCCAATATATTTATGTTTAACCTTTATTTTATTTGGATTTTACATTGATTTATATGTTATTTGTGCATTTTAGTATAAAGAGGTCACAAGTGGATTTTGGGTATATTTTGGGCCTAAATTGATGAAAAATCAGAACTTTGCAGCAGTCAGGACGCCTAAACTCTTTCAACAAGCATAGGGGTACTTTGAGCCATAAATACGTCCGTACTCATCTGCGGCAAGTCCAATATGAATAACTTTTAGAGTTTTAAAATCTTATAAAAAAGGGACCTCAGGCATTGAATTTTAGATCATGTTTTCTGACCCTTGATACATCTTTTATCTCATCTCCCTTGCACGGGATCTTTAGCATACTCTTAGCAGGACTTGGAGCTTCGAGTGACTATACTTGAAGACCAAGAACTCATCTCATATCTAGTTTTGCTTTTCTCTATGACTTTGTTTATGATTGTTTTAATTCTTTTCTTTAGCATGAGTAACTAAGTTCATAGCTAGGGCTACGAGAATTATTGTTCATGAATTTATGAAATTTTAAAGTTTGAATCTATGTTTGATTTATGTATGTGATTAATATTTATCCTATTACGCATAATTGTATAATCTTGATTAATTATATCACCATGCAACCGTACCTGGATTAGTTAATGGATCTATAGGATAAAACAAGACAAAGGATTAGGTAAACCAAACCAATCTTTCTCTTCCAATAATTATTAAATTAACAAGTTCATAAGTGTTTTATGCTTTCTTAAATTAATATCTTGTATAACCATTGTGGATGTTAATTTAAAACATAAGTTAATATTTTATGACCATTGGATATTGATAATATTTGTATGAATGATTGGTAATCACAAGAAAATTAGATTTAGAGTTAAACGGGAGACTAATATAAATGATTGAATGAGAAAACCCATATGCCATAAGTTTTTCTCTTATAAGTTCAATCAAGACGTGTATTGTGTTACTTATTTTTATTAATAATTAATTTTATAATTAAATTCTTATTTTTATTTAATTCTACATCATTTAGGCTCAAACAATTAAATTAATAAATTCTTAATAATTGAAAACAATCCTTGTGAGATGATAAATCGAGAACTTAATTTTAGAACCTTTTTATTACTTTTTGACAGGTATACTTGACTATGAACAAGTATAAACTTCTTTCTTTTTTCCCAATTTGGTAATTTTAGGTGCATATTTAATTTTGTTCCTTTTCCAAGAGGGATAATTCATCTTGAGACCATTGGAACTCCATTTGTCAGTTTATGATGTACGTGGTCCTTAATTGGTTGACTCTTAGTACAATGATTTACTGAGACTCTATTACTATCAAGAATTGGGTCTTGCCTCAAGTTTTGGGTTAAGTCATTTAGCATATCAAATCTAGAACCTAAAAAGGTTTCTTTCTTTTTACCATTTGTCCCAAAACATCCCATAGGCTGATAGGAACCAGGTTTTTTTCTGAACTATTTTTTTTGCTAACAACCAAGGACCAAATTGGTCATTCTCATGAGCAAACTCATCCCCTATTTCATCTATAGCCATATTCTTTCCAGATTGCTAATAATACCTTCTTCCTTATCTATTGAACTATTATATGGAGGGACCCTTACTTTAAATCCATATAACTAGTCCTAATAATATATTTACAATGTTCTTGCCTATGCCTATTTACCACATTTCAAACATATTAAGTGCAGACCTTCATATTGCACTTTAAATTCCCGACCAAGAGCTTTAAATGTTGAGATCAGTTTCTTTCTTAAGTATATTTCAATAAATATTCTAGCAAATTTCTCCCTAGATAATAAGGAAGGATAGGGGTTAACTTTCAGCATAGACCTCAAGTAAGCTCTTACCTACCACAAGAATTTGTTATTGTATAGTTTAAGAGGGAGATTGAGAATCCTAACCCTGCTAACTTTCTCAATTTGTAATCCTTAGTCTTAAACATAAGCCTGAGGTAATGGTCTAAGATTAACTAGGGTCCTTCAAAAAAGGCATGCTTATAGTCCTCCTTAATTCTCAAACTTAACTAGAAAGAAATCATTATTAAGATCAAGAATTTTTAACTACCTATTTTTTTTCTCAAATATTACTTAGTTTCTAATTTAGATAACTAAAGCTAATGGATTTATCTAGGAGTTTGAGTATAAGGGTGGTCCAAGGGGAACACCACACCTCATAATCCTCTAGAGGGATTCTAAGTTCAAGACAAAGATTCTAACTTTTATTAGTTATTTTTTCGTTATCCTCAGTTTTAGGCGCAATATTCAAATCATCTATCACAAATTTTACAACATCTTCATCATTTAGAATAAGATCTAAGTCTTTTGACTCTAACAATTTATCCTTATAAGAAAAGGTCTCAGAACACAAGGGTTAGAAAACACCTAGTTTGGCTTCAGATCTCCAATCCATTTGGTCTAACTCCTCTGTTTTTCTGCCTTATGTCATTCCATCCCTTGAGAGCCCTTTGGGTCAAGGGCTAAGACTAAGAAACTCTCAGTCTTGACGAGCCTTAGTTGCCCCCAAATCGCAATAGCCTCCAAGATTAGTAGTGCTCAAATGATTTTACACCCATCCAAAACTAGTATCATCATTGCAATAAAGTTGGCTGAACATCAAGTCAAATTTGATATTGGGTTTTCTCGAGTGAAAGTGACACTTATGAATGGATATAAGAGGTCAGTTTCGGGTCAAGAATATAAAATTTGTCAGTACCCGAAATTGATCAAAATTAACTATGCTTTGTATTTATATAATAATAAGTTTGGGTTGGGCTTAATAAAAGTAATACAATACCACAGATAACAAGACATATCACACCAAAATTTATTAATTATCTAGCTGGGCCTAAATTTTTTAATATAGACCTCATACTAAAAATCCTAAAAGTGTTATTCTTTCTCTTTTTCCTTATTGTTGTACCGCTACTTCTGTGTTGCTAAAGTGTTTAGCTAGGATTTTTAATTTTCTTCATCTTCCTCTTCAAGGTTAGCTTTTAATCACACTTTTGAAACATCTTTTTCTATTTCTCTTTGTTTCTCTCTATATTCCCTTGTGACAGAAATTTATTTTTTCCTTAATGTAACACCTTAGATTTAATTTCAATAAATAACGAATTTTTCAAATTTTTGGAATAATAAAACTTCCATTTTTAATCCAAGTTTCATAAAATATTTCAAATAAAGAAAAAAGGGTTACAAATTACATCAAACAGTTGCTATAGGACTTATTCAAATACAATAGTTTTCCAAAATAATATCCTAAGTCCTATAACAGTTTCATCCACCCCTTCACAGAGTCCGGTGCTGATTGTCTTTATTACCTAAAAAATGAATGTAAGGGTGAGTACTCTACACTACCAAACCACAATTAAGCATAAAGTCTCATCTCTAACTCATTTCCAATATATTAAACAAACACAATTACAAGTAGCATTATCACACAGCTCATGTCAATTTAATACCGATGCACTCACGGCATTGGTAGTATTTCACATCCATAAGTACAATTTACACCACGAATGATCGCCGGTTACCCCCGCCTC